ATATCTTTACTTGTATCTTTATTTTGTGGGAAATATTAATTATTGGTCAGAAATTAATCATAATTATTCATTGCGCTTGGACTTTGACAAAAATAGAAAATCCGCAAAAAAGCATTAAAATAAAGAGTTTACTGAGTGACAGCTTTCTATTTAAAGCCAAGCCAAGCCAAGCCATGCCGGTTCGAGCGACTTTAAGGGACTGTATACGTAATTTCAAATGACTCGCCATTTACAGAGCGGAATTTCCGATTCACAATATATATATATATATAAGATATCCATAATATTTTCTTTCCAAATTGATTATTTTTACTTGTAATTTCTCTTCAAAGTAACCTGTGCATTGAAGTCAGAAAATGAAACCCTTGTATGCAAGAAAAAATAACAATATTTTCCACGTTATTGATCAGATAATGTTTTAAATTGAAATTGTGTAAACAGTCCCATTTATTGAATCGTATGCTACGTTTTACTCATACATTTATAATTTAAAATTAGGTTGTTTAAACAACAGTCATAGCAACTAAATTTAACATTACCTTTAGTTTCCCTCAAACATTCCTCAAACTACTCAAATAATTAATAATGACAAGTAACTTACTGTAAACGTAATTTCATTTGACCAGTTCTTTTTTGAGTTGCACAATCGTTTTCAAAACGCTACCCTTGAAACCCTAATCTAATCAATAATTGTAAAAAATATTGTTGATTTTCTTGAACTGGAAAGTGTATCTAAAGGATTTATAAGTATTAGGATGTTATATTGTAGACTCAGTTCAAATTTTGTTTAAAGTTCCTTAAAGGGAGTATGAAAGGAGGTATAGGCTTAATGTGATAAAAAAGCGCATTTGATCGCCACTAATTTTACTTCTATCTGTTGCGTAAAAATCAATTTAATTTCAAACAAATCATTCAGATATTACAACCTATAGTCATCGATTATCTTTCGCCACATTTCTTTTAGTTTATATTTTATAATATTTTACTTTTTTAGAAAACGTTTTAACGGATTTCGAAAAATGTGTGTGGTGCTCGGCATTCTTAGATAGTTGCGCAAGCGACAGGAGAAATAATTAAATTCAAAACAAATTAATTAAAAAATATTATAAAATATAAACTATATACAAATGTGGCGAAAGATAATGATTTGTTTGAAGTTAAATTGATTTTTTACGGTCTAAGTCGTATGTTGCAATTCTCTGAATTTGTATGGTCGCTAAGTTATTCGGTATTAGACGTCTTTTACAATTTTCTCATTAACAGATAGAAGTAAGATTAGTAGCGAGCAAAAGCGCTTTTTTATCGCATTAAGCACCCCCTTTCATTTTTCGTGAACACTCCCTTTAAACCCTAAATATTCATCTCTATCTAGCCTTAGGGTTGCTTCCCCCAGGGAAAAGGTCTTAGAGTTACCAATAAGTCCATCGTCTTGAGATCCATGTTTAAACATCTGAGCTAGATGAATACCTTAGTGTCCGAATTTAAAGAATTTAAGCCACATCTTAAATGCCCCAAAAACCGGTTTTAATTGACCGCCGGCATAAATCTTGGAAAAATTTAATACAAATTTAAGTGGAACCAACCATATTTAAGCCGCTGCTTAAATTTTAACCGCGGCTCAAATTCTTTAAATTCGGCCTCAGATGTATTAACTGATCTTAGTCCAATTGTTCAACTTTTCAATTTTATTATAAAAGTCACAACTCCAGTTTTATTGGAAAGGGTGGTTATAGCAAATCTAATTTACGTCTGATCAAGAATTAATGAGATATCCTTGCTTTTATCACTGAAAATTGATTGTTTTCAATTTTGATTTAAATTGTCAAATCTTAAACTTTTCCCGGCGCGCGCAGGGCTATTTTTGTCAAATACAGGCTGTTGGGGGATTTTAATGCCTCTTTCTTGAATGGTTAGGATGCAAGGGAGGATTTTTAAAAAGTTCAAAAAGCACGTCGGAAAAAATAATTATTCTTAATTTTGACTTATTTTAATATGTGACTCATGTTGTTACATTCATTTTTCACGGGCTTTTAAAATATATATCTTTTTTTGATTTCTGTAAAATATTTTATGAAACTATTGTGAACTTTATCATTCTAACTCACTTCATCGTGAATTTCATAATGAACGTGCAGAAAGTAATTATCGTGCTATAAAGTTAAATTAGCTGTATATAATAGCACCATAGCTATAAAGTAATCGTCGTGCTATAATCGTAAATTAGCTGTACATTACAGCACGTGTGCTATAAAGCTTTGATTGTTTCCCGGATTTTCTCCAAAAATTTTTGCCTATTTCCAAAATATTTTTTTTCAACTGAATTGAAAATAAAATTAAAATCAACTAAATATTTCAACTTCTGCTATGTTTCAATGAATATTTGATCAAGGAATGACCATTTAAATAAGACAAGTACACAAACGTTTCATAAAATTACCTATAAAACTATTATTTTGGCACGATGTTCTATAAGCTTTTTGGACTTAAAGTTTCTCTATATCTTGCCTTTTTAGATTATATTTTAAATTAAATCTAAAAAGCTTGAACCTTCTCGATAAAGAGAAAATTTCTGTCCACATTCTTTTTATAACTATAACAGCGTTATTAATAGTTATTTTAGCCGGTAGCTTAATTAACCCAAATGTTAATAAGCATTTCTGATTTTTGGGTAATTTCAGGGTAAATTAAACAGCCTATTCACTGTTGATTGGTATTTATAGTCTTACATTTCAAAGAAACATAGGCTATAAAAAAAGTTTTAATCGAAATTTTTATTTTCAAAAGTCTATTTTTTTTAAATTTTCACGTGCACTTCAGCTAGTATTTTACATTTCTCTTAAAGGGGAACGGTAAAGTGTTTTTTAAGTGACCCTAAATCTGTTATTTGTCTGATTCACATTGGAACAGACTTCAGAGACAACTGTACGAAATCTGTTATTTGTCTGATTCACATTGGGACAGACTTCCCTCATATTCATGATTGACCGCAACTGTACAATTCTTTCTTTTCAAAATAATTTTATCCGACATTTCAAGACTTTTTCCAGAAAACTTAAGACTTGGAATCTTTAAAGTTTCAAGTCGTCTTTACAGTCTCATCATTAGTGGGCATATTTAGCTGATGAAAAAGGAAAAAGATATTTTAATCCTTTCCCCTAAACAAAAAGGCCACAGAGTTAAAATAATTGTAACTCTTGATTTACAGGCCTGCTTATAAGATAAAATTGACAAAATTGTCACTTTTTGATTAGATGTCGTCTTCACTAGCTAACTGGCACTGCAAGTTTTGACCTTTGTCTCGTTTTCTTAGATCTGTGATTTAGCAATACACAAGCAAAATGCTTCCAATTATTACGGCGTTAGGCTATTCCTACTCTTAAAAAATCTAAAACATGCTGTGTACTTCCAATTATTACATTAATAGTCAATTTCTACGTAAAAATCAATTTTAAGAACCATTTATTACTGACACTTTTTTATTAAAGGTTGGCTTTGAATTGTTTTACATAAGAATGGACCACCGCGCCGCTGTAAGGATTGGAAGCCTTTTACTTGTGCATTGTAAAATTATAGATCTCAGGAAACACATAGGTTGAAACTTACAGTGTAAGTTAGGTATCGAAGACGACCTCCAAATAAAGGAAATTGTTCCTAGAATTGAATTTTAATGACAATCGGCGTAATTCTATAATGAAATTGTAAACTTAATACCGATACACATTTATAAACTGGAACAAAGTATGTTAATTATAAAAACCAGCAAAAAAGTACCCAGAGTCCGAATTTAATGAATTTGAGCCGCGTCTTAAATCCGCCAAAACCGGTTTAAATTGAGTGCCGGCTTAAATCTTGCATTGAATACAATTTGAAGTGGAACCAACAATATTTAAGCTGCGTCTCAAATTCTTTAAATTTTGCCGCGGCGTTCCCACTCCCAGTGCCCGTTAGATGTCTTTTATAGCCTTTTTTTAATCTTAAAAAAAACATCCAAAGAAACGACCTAGTGTTAGCATCTAAAAGTGGTGGAGAATAAAGAAAATATAAAGCCTGAAACTGATGTGAGTAAGACTACAGAGTATAGAAAAGATATATTTACATTATAAAAAAGAAGTAATGGTCAATACTAATGAATCAAGGAAAGCCGAAGCTCTCTGCAGACCCTCCGCCTTTCGTCCGCCTCATATGACGGATAAACCCTCTCCCTCTTTCGATTCTTCGTGTATACTAACTCCCTGTTTCGGTTTTAGCCTCGCAAATCTTTGTTTCCGCTCCCTTGTGTGAATCAGCCTGGTGGCCTGAGTTTTAAAGAGAGATTTTAACGGCGGCTGGCATTTTCCACGCGTTGAAAGCATGATTACTGGATGGACAGACTCTGAATAAACTATACTCACCTCGTATTATATATCCGACCCACTTTCTATCCGACCTATAGCTACAAAAGAGCTAATAAGCTGTCATGCTTGTAGGTCCGTAGGTCCGTATGAGGTTACATAAATGAAACTATCCCTATTCTGAGCTATTGAGCTCACACTGGTTACACTAGATCCGAACAACTTTTGATTTTTAGACCCGACTTTAAGGCCAGTTGTGCATAGTATGCACATAGCCTATAGATGGCAAACGGACAGTACATCAAATGAATCATCCACCTTTATGGAGATTAATTTAATGTGACCCGGCTTAAAAACAACATTTCTTATGTCTATGAACTAATTAGGTTTAAAGGGGGTGACTGGCTAGGTAGGTAGTTGAACTGGAAGTGCAGTATTGTACGAAAAAATATCAGGATTTATCTGACTTTTTTCTATTTGATATTGCTATAAAACACAGTAATCAACCCAATATGTTCGTTTTTTCAAGCGTTCCGTAAAAAATCGAAAATTTAGTTTCTTCAGTAAAAACAACATGAGTTCTTCAATTTCGTTAAAACGAGCATGACCTGTGTAAATAACAAACTTGAGTTTTTTTAAAACTTCGTCCAGTAAAAACAAGTTTATTTAAAAGTTGACATCATGAATTTTCTAAGAAAAAATGAAGAAGAAAACAATTGTTTCTTTGTATCTGTTGGCCCATCTTCCATATTTGATTGCTGAGCCTATGACTGCACTGACAACTGTATACAAGGTAACAGAATAACAGAATAACAGAATAACAGAATAACAGAATCAATAAATTTAAAATGTTGAAGCAATTGTGTTGTAAATGAGATTGAGCTACGAAGTGCACTGAACTACTTGCTACTTTGTATTACCGATTCAAGTTAAAGAGTTAGGAAGGTTTTGAATCAATGATTCAAATTTGAACCGGTGCGGTGGTAGGTAGAATTCAGTGAACTTTAAATTCATTAAATTTGGTTCTAGACTCCAATAGAAGTGAAAGAATTAAGTTAAATTCTTTTGAAGTCAGTGTTTTTTTTTAAGAAATGGCTTATCTACAATAACAATTACAAAATAATCTGTAAAAGCAGTTGATTAATATTTCTGAGATCTGTCAGATTTGTCAGGCTTTGGTAGAGATAAAATTAATGATTTATTAAGGTATTACCTTGGATATTTTATTTAAGAAAACTGATGTAGTGGTTGATAGCTTTGTGAAGTTAAGTTCAGCACTAGATTTTAAAGCAGCTAATGCTAAAACTAGGGTAGGTTAATAACTGACATATGTTTTGTTTCATTTAAGCATTTCAATTGTATCTTCATAATTTTTTATTTTAAGTTTATTTTATTTATGTTATGCCATAGGTTCAATGTGCTGCTGCCTGCAGTCTATCCCCACCTTGCAACGGTATTATATTCGAGGTATTCTTATAATATACTTTATAGTTGCTTAAACTAACATCTTACAGGGACTGGAGAAGGGGGGGAGGCAAACCGCACACGTTTAGTCTCCATCCAGCAATTGACTCCAAACATAGAGTCGCATAGATGATTTTAAACCAAATCCAACGCAAAGATCCATTAGTTCTTGTAAAGATTAAAATTCTCTCTACTTAAAAAAATTGTTTTTGAAAAGATTAACATGAGCACTCAGCAGGTAGTTTTTTAGATGAAAATAAGCTTTAAAAGTAAAGACAGGTGGGTTCGGATTTAAAGCAATATGGGTAAGGGCATTGCGGCAACTCTATGTTTGTGAGTTAATTTTGGATAGAGACTATATGGTGCAGCTTAGATTTATCTCCCCCCCCCCCGCATCACTGAAGATGTAATTTCAAGGATACCTCCATTTACTAAAAATATCCATTATTATCAATTATTAGAATGGAGTATGTAAACTTGGCACTGCCATCTGCTCTGGCCCACCTGGAAGTGGTATTATCAGCGTGTACACAAAGGGATGCTTGAATAGTAAGAATCTATAAAAGTAGTTATCTATGTTTGGCTGTTTATTTGTATTGTCCGATCATAACTAATGAACCCCTTAGGCGATTTGACTGAAATTATGATTGGAGAACTCGGCCGAACCACAGAAATGTAATCAAATCAGTTATTAAAAAAATAAGTAAAATAAATATGTGTAATGTAACATTACTGCAGTTGGATTGATATTTTAAAGCTGTCACAAAGCCTTGAAAGGTTTGTTTGATTTTGGTTTTAAGAGATTTGAGTAGTGAGTACTTTATAATATTTATATTGGAAGCCTGCAGGGTAAAGTGTCCACAGATTACCAATACATAGATGCGCGCGTAACTTTTCCCATTGCATTATGTTTTATGAGCACTGAGCACTAACTTAAGTTATATCTCAAGAACTAGATATCTAGGATATGGTCACTGCTAAAATCTTAAAAATCCCTGGTTGACTCAAACATATTATGTTCTTGATTTTATGATGCCATCTGTCATTTTTTTCAAAATTTTCCAGAAAAATTAGATCCATTGGAATAAAATTCCTTGATCTAAAACATATATTTCTACATATAATATCATTATTTTTCTGAATATTTTTGCGGCCTTCTTTTTTTTAAACTTTAGCAAGGACTTTATCTTATTATGTAGGAGCTAAAGATCTAAAATTTTCAGAAATGACTAACAGAATATAAGGTTATGGCGCGCGCCATTTATTAAATTAAGCTAAGCATTTAACCTTACTGCATGCAGGGCCAATTATATATTTCCCTTAGAAATAAATTTTGGCCAATTAATAAAAAAATGTTAAATTCAAAAGGTATGAAAAGAAACACACTTATTGTTCAGAAAGCATCTTGCAAAATTTGCAAATTAGCATTTTTTCCGTTTGTAAACTTGGTTCTCCATTAGATAAACTTTACTCCAGTTCTAATTCAGTATTACATTATTTCATATTAAAACAATGAAAACAAGAAGTTATTTATTTATCATTTAAAAAAATTAAAGGGACTGTAAGCAAAATTTCAAGTGACCTTCTGTTTACAGATGGGCATTTCTGACTACAAGAAAAGCGCTTGTAATCGCTGAACACTTTGTTATCAAGCTGGTTTATATTTAATATCTCCCTTCTAGCCGTGGCAGAATGTAAATTTCAATTCTAGAGTTTCCAGGAATAAATGGAATGTCATCTAAGTTGAATTCAACAGTACGGTGATTGAACAGCTTTTTACACAGCATTTAAGAGATATATACACTGAGGTCTCTGACCTTGATAGTCAGTCAAAGGTTTAAAGGGTGCCATTGTGAATTGGTGATGTTCCTCTGTAAATGGAAGGTCACTTGAGATTTTGATTACAATCTCTTTAATGAATCTTAATTTAGGACTTGTGATAATAAAGGGAGGGGGGTGGGATGGACAACCAGAGGGTGGTCATGTCTTCTATGCAGTGTTCAATGAAGCAGGTATTATTCTGTTATTATTTGCAAGCGCAATTTTCAAAGTTGCAACTTCCCAATAAGAAAAATATCTAAATGTTCACTAAAACAGAAAATTACCAATTAATGTAAATTCAAATTTTAAATTTTTTTTATTTTTTGAAATAAAATTTTTTTTCAGGGGGGTTTATTTTCTAGAAAAAATATTTCCCCTGGCCTAACCCCGGTTCTTATAAATGAAATTGTAATCAAGTGAGACATAATTTAAACATTGTGAATACTACAAAATTTGGATTTTCTGGAGAGTTCATGAATTGTTTTAGCATGAAAAATAAAGTTAGTGCCTTGTTATTTCTTGGAAAATAAATTCCCCTAAAAAAGATAATTTTCAGCCAATAAAGGAGAAGAGGGCTGGAAAGAGTTTATAAGTTATAGCAATAAGAGCTCTAGGATGTTGATAGTGAATGGGTAATATATTCTTAGATATTATACCATTTATAATTTATAATACTTATGAAAAAAATGTTTGTTTTCAGAAGATGGACTGTTCGCTGGGATTTCCCAGTCCTTGAGGAACTAGGTCATTAATTCAAATATTCAACCAAAAATTTCATCACACATAAAATTATATTTTCCTGGTTCTTTTGTGTGTGTTCAGAACCAATCAGATGATACTAAAGTATTTACAAATTGTGGACTTTACTTAAAGGGAGTGACCGGCTATGTAAGGTAGTTGAGCTGAGCATGCAGTGTTGTGGAAAACTTCTATTGGATTCATTTGAGACATATTAAACTTTTTAAAGATCTGTTAATCCTGTTATTGAACTCAAATTCGAAGTTCGAAACTCCTACTTTGGGGGTGAATACGTTTTCAGAATCGTTTTTTTTTAAATTACTAGATAACGACAACGAAAAATAAAGTAAAAATTATACAGTAATCTAATTAGATGGTTATTGGGAACATATTTCTCAAAAGAAATTTGTCAATAAATCAATGCTAAAATCAATTATTTCGTTTTGATTATTATATTGAATTTCTTATTTTCTTTGAATTTATTCGCAGATTTCTTTAAATTCTTTAAATGTCGTCTTTTCGATAATAGTTCTAGAAAATCTGCAGAAAACCACACGGAAAATGAGGAACCATTTTCAGGACTAAAAATAAATTTAAAATAAATATATAACATTTTTTTAATTATAACAGTTAATTTTTATTTTTTTCAACCTGTTCCGATACATGATGTCTGTACTTTATTGAAGAACTTTTTACTTTTTATGTCGTCGTTTTTTAATAATTTAAAAAAACTAATTCTGAAAACGTATCCACCCCCAAAGTAGGAGTTTTGAACATGGAATTTGCGCTCAAACTCAGGATTTACAGATCTTTAAAAAGTTTAGTATGTCTCAAATGAATCCGAAAGAAGTTTTCCACAACACTGCATGCTCAGTTCAACTACCTTACATAGCCGGTCACTCCCTTTAAGAATGTTTTTTCTCATTCTTATTAAAAACGAAAGAATTTGTAAAATGTTGCCTTAAAAATTATTTTATGATGAATGCCAATGAACTTTTGAAGGCTATTTAACAAAAGGATTATTGAAGGCTTTTTTGTATTATTTTCAAGCTTTTAAATGTTTCTGTGCCCTACGTTAAATGGATATTTGTAAGTTACAAAATATAATCAAAATGTCTGTATGGAAATTAATGTTCAAATTTTTTTTTGCAGAAAGAAAATAGTCTAAATCTAAAAGAAAGACCCAAAATTCGCAGACCATGGATATTTAATCTTATATAATAAAACTGATTTGTTGTCAAATGCAACTACATTCATTAAAACACAAAACATCAGTGTTACTTGATAAAAAAAAGTTGAAGGCGACTTTATAAACCTTTTTACATTGTCTCTGAACATTTTTGTTTTACTTTGAAAGATGTTTAAGCACATGTTTCATAAAACTTTTAGAGTAACATTTAATAACTGATCAGGAATTGGTTTTAGGTTTAATAACAGCCAAACAAAAAAACAATGATTTCAGGAAATTTCCAATCTTTGTTTTCAATTTTTTATGTTGTTGTAATAAAAATATTCCTAATATCATGCGACAGTAATCCTGCTAAATGCTAACTAAGCATACTCACACCAATTATTTAGTTTCCTTTCCACAGTATCCTGATGTTTACAATAACACTCAGTCTGCCTTTAGTGCATCTTTCTATGGAAAGTATCTTTTACTTATTTATCAATGTTCACTTTCTTGTGGTCAAAACTAAGAAATATTCTTCCCAAAGTGGCAACTTCCCAGGTCTGACCTAGCCACAGCCCTCGGCCCCCTAACCTGTTCTTATAGCCACAGTGCTAGGCCCCATAGCCTATCCTAGCCGCAGTGCTTGGCCCCCATAGCAGTTTGCAGCGCCTCAGAATGCCTGACCACAACCCTATGGAAGTTGCTGCTTGGGAAATTGCAGATTTGGGAAGTTGTCACCAGGGAAATGGTCACCCTTGAGAAAATGCCTTTGGGAATATACCATAGACCTTACCTTAGCATAAATCAGAAACAATCAAATAAAAAACTGTAAAAAGTTTACCCGAAGATATTCATATTTAGATGCATGTCCCCAAGAAGGAGTACGGATCACGGTAAGCTTCTAGGTTTTATTTTTACCTTTTTAAACCTTAGATGAGATAAATTGTAGACATCCATGTTGTAGACGTTATTCTCTTGATAGAAAGTTGTGGGGGAAAGAAAAGATTAAATGTACTCTGCTTGAGAACTGTTTCACAAATAATGGGTTTCCAGCAAACAATAAATTTTTGAATTTTTTTCTCAAGCATTTTTGATTAAGAAAAATCAACTGCAAAAATTATTTGCGCAAAAAAACTTGCGGAATTCTCTACTCTGAGAGCTCAGCATTAGAAGTTTCATTATATATATTTTAGATAATTATTTCTCTTCCTTTACATAGATAAATGGTTGATGAAGATAATTCTATCTATCTATCTATACATCTATCTTTCTGTCCGTCCATGTACCTTCACATAGCTCCAAATTATTCTAGTTCTTCCTGTAGTATAGATTTTATAGTGTATTTTGAAGAATTTTTTTGCAGTTTTAAGGCGACTTTTTTATCTCTTTTATTCTTATAATAACACTCGCCATTTTTGATAATTTTTTTTGTAAATTTCTTAGAATATTTAGGCGAATATATTTAGCTCACCCCTAAGCTCTGAGAAGGAAAAAGCAAAATTCGACCCATCTTACGATAGATATGATTAAATTTTAGGCAGCCACTATGATAAGAGATATTACTAATGTTCTCACTTGGCAAGCTTGCGGAGTTCATTGTGCTGAAGGGAATAAATGCTTTTATAATGTTTTTAATTATCACTTTTATAATGTTTTTAATTATCACTTTTATAATGTTTTTAATTATCACTTTTATAATGTTTTTAATTACCACTTTTATAATGTTTTTAATTATCACTTTTATAATGTTTTTAATTATCACTTTTCACACAAAAAATCAAGGATTAACCTAAAATGAGTTATGGATCAATTTGTATCTTTCTGTAAAGAAACTTAATAGAAACTTAATAATAAGGTTAAAAAGGTTAAAGCAGGCATTGATTCAAAAGACTCTCTCTGTGAGTATTGGACTTGGGGTATTCCTGGTATGTACTTTTATGCTTTTTCTCTAAATTTAATCTTAAGTAAAATTTTTAAAGAAGATATAAATTAACACTTCCGGGGAGCAATTAACACTTCCGGGGAGCTTAATTTATTCTTAAAATGAAACCCTGCCTGGCAGTCAAGAGAATGTTAATAATCAACCCGAAATTTTCGTACAGGGTTTTAGTTTTAGAGTTAAACACGCTTCAAACAAGAATTTATATCTTCATTGATATTTCAAGGTTCTAAATGCCATATACGCTCTGGTATGAGGGCTGTGAGTAAAGATCCCACATACATTTCTGGCACCAAGGATTGTACTAGTTAGAGAGGTAAAGTTTCTTTAAAGTAAACACAAATATTATTATTGTTAACCCTAGCAATATTATTATTGTTAACCCTAGCAATATTATTATTGTTAACCCTAGCAATATTATTATTGTTAGCCCTAACAATATTATTATTGTTAACCCTAACAATATTATTATTGTTAACCCTAACAATATTATTAGGGTTTGGTTTGTCTTCATTCCTACACTAGTGCGCTTAAAATTTATTCTTTTCTAAATCTAGAAACAAACAAAAAAATTATGCACAGTGGTCTGGGACAGTCAAAAACCTAGTCGTTGTTGCAAAAAATCAAAAATAGTCCACAACTTGTTTACTATTTAAGCTGCATGTTTACTTATTTGAAAAGCCTGTAAAAATGGATGTCGCATGTTAATATTTGTCTAAAGTGAAAATAAATGTTTTTAACCATTCTTCCGAAAAACTTTTTAACTTTTTTTAAAACCTCTCTTGTACAAGGTTTTCAACAAATAGAATAGAATATATATTAGAGGGGAATTTATTAGAAAAAAGTGTAAAACGGCCATTTTGTTGTACTGTTTCCATACTGCAGGTGTACTTCACATATTTATGCTATATAACCTTTCGGCCCTGGAATATCATTTTATAGAAAATCTGAAGTTAATATTAAATGAAAACCAAATTATGAAATAGGCTGGTTTCATAATTGACCAATGATCATTTCACATAGACTCTATGCCTTTCACTATACAAACGATGATTTTCCGTTTTAACTATAAAGCAAATTATGTTTCTTATTCACCTTATTCTTTATAAAGTTTATTTAACAGCTTTAAAAAATTCGAAATTGAAATGGATAGTCTAGGGAACATTAATCAATGTACTTTACTGCATATAATTTGTGAACATTTACATGATTTGTACACTATGAACTCCCTTTTAGGCTGAAAGAGACTGAAAAAAATCATACCGAGAGATTCTTTAAATTCCCCTCTAATATATATTCTATTATCTTTGGTTTTCAATTTGGATACGTAAAGGCCTAATGGCACCTTTTTTGGAGCTGTTGAGAATGATAACCTGTTAAAAAACCTTTTGAAATTAATAGGGAACCTTTATAAACCAAATTAAGAATGAGTCTATCTAATAGATGGTTCATAGATCAAGTTGTAACATGGTGACAAAGTTTAATATACAATATTAATTCATATACAATATTAATTAAGATTTTTGTTTTTAGATGCATATTCAGGAAATGCATATGCACTCAAACTTTCTGACAAAACATTTAACGATGAGGGATTTGTGTGTGTCTGAGACCGAATTAAATTAACTAGAAAGAGGTGGCTGAACTTCCTACCGCCAGATCAATTACTGGCTTAAATCCTGAATCAAAGTTTAAGATTTCAATCAACCCAATTAGACTCCCACAAATATCGGGTTCATCAATCAATGTCTAAAACCAAACATTGGCATTCTGTAGTTCATAATTGAGCCAGCCATGAAAGATACATGGTTGAACCGTCTCTATATAGTTCAACGATCTCTCGAATTTCATTAAATCCGGTCTTTTGATTTGTTTTACTAGTAACCATTATGTATTATGATGCTAAAGCAATAATGGAGCTTTGTAAAATTCCTCAAATATGCGCTTCTATGGCTGTGTGTTATAATATTTATCAATCTGAAATAAACATGATGAGTTTTAAAATCTAACTGTCTAGCTTTAAATCTACAAATCAAGTTAGCGCTCGAATAAGAAACTAAGAAGTGCATGCTCACATAGTTTTTTGATCTACATTTATTTTGCTAGTTGCATTTTTAACTACCATTATTCACAGCTAGCAAAAGCTGAACCCGGGCCAGAATAAAGAAACTGAGTTTTTGCCACAAACTCTGTTTTTTTAAAATTTGTATATCTTTTCAACCCAGTGTTGTAGACCTTCGATATTTCAAACTATAAAAGCTTTTTTAGATCAAATATTCTAAATAAAAATATCAAAGGTTTACTTCATCAAGCTTATAAATTGATAATAAAGTTTGAGTTCGTAGCAAGAACTCAGTTAAATTAATTTCAAAATGGTTTGAAATCATATATATATAGTAGAATAAAAGTTAAATCACGCTTCAAATGACCTTCAAATATAAAAATAAACAAAATTTGATTTTAAACAATAAACGAGTTTTGATTAATTTCTAATGAACACTTTACAAATTTGAAATTTTAGAGAAATAGAAGAAATGCCAAAATTGCATTTATTTCTAATTTTGGTTAAACAAATTTCTCAAATAAGAAATTTACACAATTATATCTGTAATCTAACTTCATTCTTATGGCTCAGGACTAGAATACTACATTTTATAAGGTAACAGACATATTATCATGTGAGGAAATCATTGAGAGGCATGAGTAAGTGTGAACATTAATCTTAAAAAATAAATAAATATTTGTTTTATACCAAAACAGTGTTGACATTTTGACAGTGCGTGATACACAATTCATATACACATTTTCTTAAACAGAACTAAGAAAAAGTTCGTTGTTTGAGGAAGTGGCGACTTATGTGGGCCGAGGGGGATTAAACAAAGCATTCAGATATTACAACTTATAGTCATCGATTATTTTTCGACGCATTCGTATATAGTTAATATTTCATAATATTTTTTACTTTCTATCATCTGAGAGTGACTTTTGAAAACATTTATTCCTGTTTCGAGGATTTTTATAATGAAGACGACATTTTCCATATTTTCCGGGAATGCGCCAGTCGTGAAAACAAATTGTAAGCAAAATATTAATTTTAAAAAAACACAAATATAAAATATTATGAAATATCAACTATATACAAATGCGTCGAAAAATAATCGATCGCTATAGGATTTAATAACTAAACTATTTGTTTGCTATTAATTTGATTTTTTTACGATCCAAGTCGTATGTCCCAACTTCCTCAATTAGTATGAACGCTTCGTTCTTCGGTATGAGCGTTTTTAACAATTTTCTCCATATAGACGCAACAGATAGAAAATAAGATTAGTAGCGATTATTTAACGCCCTAAGCCTATACCCCCTTTCATTTTTCGCGAACACTCCCTTTAAGTTTCTCTCGTTTACCATTTTCTCTCTCTCACCCGTATCCCTGGATACTTTTAGAAGTGCCGAGCCAGAGCCAGTTGTTATTGCTCTGAAAGCTAGATGTAGACCGTTAATACGATCATCAAAAGTGAGGTTCTCATCAACATAAACACCGAGAATTTATAAGAAGGACCGGGGACAGAATTGTTTTGAATTCTCTGGATAGGATATATCAGTTTATTTCAAGGAGAGATAGAGTAGTACTTGGACTGTATATGTACCTTAAAGTACCCAAGAAGCCAAATGTTTGTATATACAGTTCAAATTTTCCCCCCCCCCCCCCTCTAGGAGATTCTAGAAGGGGGGGGATTTTTTTGCACTTCTTGAATAATTCGCCCCTCCCCTAGATATATTCTTGTGTACGCCTTTGTATAATATTAATTTTACTGATTTTTTACATTACATGAAATTCAAGTAATTGTAAAACAACTTTTAAAGGAAATATTCGTTATCAATTTCAAACAATAATGTTAATAAAACAATTAAGTTGCTGAAGTGGCAAGTCCACTCGTTAAATCTACAAGAAAGGTTTTGTGTGAAGTTTTGTGTTTAAACTCATCCAGTTGAGGCATCTCTGATGATTTAGTAAAAGAAAATTCAACCTATTGAGTGTCTGCTTTATTTACCCAATTTCCGGGCGCTACAGTACAAACTGGGACCGGAAAGGTTGACCCGGCTCGGAAAATCAAATGTACAACGGCTGCCCGTGAGCTAAGGAGATTCATTCAAAGGAAAAAGCAAGATAAGTCTTAACCAAAAAGTAATTTTATTTTCATATATTTATTCGAATACGTTTGTACAAAAAACATCACCAGAAAAACTGCAAGACATCCATAAAACTTGAAACTAGAACAAGGATTGACATAAACTGATTTTTCCTTCATTTATTGTTTGTTGTTCATTTGCTAAAATTATGAACAGTGAAACTATGGCAAGGATTTGTTATTATTTCTTGGTCTAATGATAAAAATCTATTTATTTTAACAAACGAACAAATAAAGTTCTAATCAAAAAGGAGTTTTAAGTTATGTTTTCTCTGTATATACAGTGATAACCAGAAAACTCTGGAATAGGAAGTCGACTTTTAAACTTAAGTAGAGCATTGAACATGAGACACAGCAATTGTGCAACGTAAACAGACCCATTTTACTTAATAAGTAATTTAATAACTTTTAATAAAAGCTATATGCTTTGAATAACATCAAATACACTTCACAAATGCTATAATGTCGTCTTTCTATTCTGTAGACTGTAGAGGTAGGACATATTTATCCAGAGTAGGAGATGAAGAAAAAGATTGTTGTGTAACCATGGATAAAGTCTCTCTCCTTCACAACCTGAAAAACAATTTGACAAGTTTGAATAAAATTTCTGTTACAGTTTGATGTCATGAAAATTCTTTTCACTGAGTAAATTTGAAAACATTTTCCTACATTCTTAAAATGATTCACACAAAAAGATAATTTTGTTATTTTTTGGTGGAAATTGACTTAAATAAGCAACTTATAAATTATATATATTTTAAATTTATTTCTGAATTTAGCAAATGAGCTATCTCATATCTTCAACTATATTGGATATGTTGATAATAAAAATATCACCTGAGGTTTAGGTTTGGACGTATCCATCCCTATTTCACCATTGCCGAATATACCTATGAGGGGGATACACGGGAAAACTCGTCTAAAAGCTCTCGATTCTACGTCTTTTTTTCCTACAAACAATATACGGGGTTAACCACAAATAATGAGACCTGAAACGCTTTAATTCTTAAAAAGGTTAAACTTGACCTTTTTTACCCTATTTAGTCTTAAGTAATCATACGAAATAAAAATCGAAAAAAAATGAAAATGATTAAAGCAGTGCTTAGGAACCATTTAATTTTGATGCGGATCCGGATCCTGGATCTGCACTGGAAAAAATGGATCCGGATCCGGGTCATTTCTTTAAGATTTACTGATTTTTTTAACAAAAATAATTTTTATTTTTTTTGTTTTATTTTTTCGCTTATTTTTATCTTAAAACCATTCAGAAATGAGGAAATTTTTATAATCTCCCTTTTTTTAAAAGTTCAGATTTGGGTTTTATAAGTAAAAACGTTTTTTTTTTGTAGTTTTTGGTTGATATTTTACCCATTGCATCCGGATCCGTGGATCTGCATATTTTTGCGGATCCGGATTCTATGCACTGGATTAAAGCTATAGGGAACCATCAATGTAAAAAGAGGAATGCATATATTCCGTATTCGATGTAGGTAATCCTGTACAATGTACATGGATAACAAGAAGTGAATACCCGACTTGAGAAAGCAAGTCCTCACCTCCATGGTGTTTAATAACAGGTCCCTTATTAAAGCGCATATACAATTGACATCAGTATAACTTTTTAGTACAATTATTAAAAAGTGATTTTCTTAACAAATAGCTGTTTAACTAGAACTGTTCATTAAAATATTTTTTTCTTCATTATTTTCAAGCAAAACAATATTGGTACAATTACAGTTTGTTAAATACTTTAAAATTGAAAACTGTTCTAGCATCAACAATCTTATTTACAATCAAAGAATGAACTCCAAACTTGTAATGAACTCCAAATTAAGGTTTATGAATTGTCTAGTCGTCTAGGGTCACATAAGGGTCACATAACCAGTTGATATTATGTCATGCAAAAATCCCATTAGCACTACAAACTTGGCCTTAAAAAAGGGTTTGATAAAAAAATAATAAAATAAAGATCAAGCATCATTCCTTGGACACTTACCTCTGTATAGACCCTTTCCTCGTCCACAGCAGGCAAACATGAGAGCCAAGCAATTCTCCTCTTTGACTTTAGTCTTGTGTTCTAGTAGTCTCTTCTCTACCCCCTTCTCTGTTCTTACTTGACTAAATATACAGTTTATAGACTTCCTTGACTTTAGTTCTAGTAGTCTCTGTTCCACCCCCTTCTCTGTTCTTACTTGACTTAATATACAGTTAAAGTCTTCCTTGACATTAGTCTTGTGTTCTAGTAGTCTCTTCTAAACCCTCTTCTCTGTTCTTACTTGACTAAATATACAGTTTATAGACTTCCTTGACTTTAGTTCTAGTAGTCTCTTCTCCACCCCCTTCTCTGTTCTTACTTGACTTAATATACAGTTAAAGTCTTCCTTGACATTAGTCTTGTGTTCTAGTAGTCTCTTCTAAACCCTCTTCTCTGTTCTTACTTGACTAAATATACAGTTTATAGACTTCCTTGACTTTAGTTCTAGTAGTCTCTTCTCCACCCCCTTCTCTGTTCTTACTTGACTTAATATACAGTTAAAGTCTTCCTTGACATTAGTCTTGTGTTCTAGTAGTCTCTTCTAAACCCTCTTCTCTGTTCTTACTTGACTAAATATACAGTTTATAGACTTCCTTGACTTTAGTTCTAGTAGTCTCTTCTCCACCCCCTTCTCTGTTCTTACTTGACTTAATATACAGTTAAAGTCTTCCTTGACATTAGTCTTGTGTTCTAGTAGTCTCTTCTAAACCCTCTTCTCTGTTCTTACTTGACTAAATATACAGTTTATAGACTTCCTTGACTTTAGTTCTAGTAGTCTCTTCTCCACCCCCTTCTCTGTTCTTACTTGACTTAATATACAGTTAAAGTCTTCCTTGACATTAGTCTTGTGTTCTAGTAGTCTCTTCTAAACCCTCTTCTCTGTTCTTACTTGACTAAATATACAGTTAAAGTCTTCCTTGACTTTAGTCTTGTGTTCTAGTAGTCTCTTCTAAACCCTCTTCTCTGTTCTTACTTGACTAAATAAATATAGTTATATAAACTTCCTTGACTTAAGTCTTACTTGACTAAATATCTAGTTTATAGTCTTCCTTGTTCTTTCAGTCGTTTCTCTGTCTAGCTTGCTTGAAAAAAAGGCTTTCAAAGAACTTAGGCTTTTGTGCCATTTTAAATCCTTAATGATTATGATAAATTTAAGCGAAATAACTTTTAATAATAAAGCTTTAGCAAAAATTATTGTGAAAGAACTATCACATATTCACTATTTTACGAACAAATATATGAGGATACTTAACCCTATTCCTGCTGGGGGGGGGGGGTCAATTTGACCCCCCCCCTGTAGTTTTTTTACATAACTCAAAAAGTATTGGTCTGAGGCTGTTGAAATTTTCTGACTTTTCTTACATGTATCCTGGTTTTCAAGTACCCTAGGAGGGATAGGGTTAATTTAAAAAATCATCCCTATAAACTAGCTACCTGGAAATGAGAAGAGTAGATGACTGTATACTACCAGCAAATTTAATCCCTACAGTTAATTGATGGGGGTGCCGGGCTTCATCTTCATCAGGTTCATTTCCTTCGACTTCCTAATAAATATCAGAGATTTACCCTTCAATGATGATTAAGATATATTCTCTGTCCGTGGTTTTAAAATCTCATTTTCTTTTAAAATAGTTAAATCTCCTTACCGGATAAGGTGCTAGTTAATTTTTCAAATAAAATTTACAAAATGTTGATTCATTAAAGGTTAAGAAGGTTAGAGTATGGCAGAGTTTTGAGTGGTTAGCACCCCCCGAGCCCTCTCCCCTGGAACCATGTATCTTTTCTCCACTGCTACGCCCCCAACAACCAAATTAACCTAAAATCTTAACCCCATCCCATTAACTGAAAGCCTCTCACTTAACATCATAAATTTGTTGCATAAACGTCTACTACAGACTGGGTTCACGAGACGGGCTGGTACAAGAAAAATTTGTTGCATAAACGTGCTGGGTCTACTACAGACTGGGTTCACTAGACGGGCTGGTACAAGTAAATTTGTTGCATAAACGTCTACTACAGACTGGGTTCACTATACGGGCTGGTACAAGAAAAATTTGTTGCATAAACGTGCTGGGTCTACTACAGACTGGGTTCACTAGACGGGCTGGTACAAGTAAATTGGTTGCATAAACGTCTACTACAGACTGGGTTCACGAGACGGGCTGGTACAAGTAAATTTGTTGCATAAACATGCTGGGTCTACTACAGACTGGGTTCACTAGACGGGCTGGTACAAGTAATTTGTTGCATAAACGTCTACTAGAGACTGGGTTCACTAGACGGGCTGATACATGTAAATTTGTTGCATAAACGTCTACTAGAGACTGGGTTCACTAGACGTGCTGGTACAAGTAAATTTGTTGCATAAACGTCTACTACAGACTGGGTTCATTAGACGGGCTTGTACAAGTTAATTTGTTGCATAAATGTCTTCTACAGACTGGGTTCACTAGACGGGCTGGTACAAGTAAATTTGTTGCATAAACGTCTACTACAGACTGGGTTCACTAGACGGGCTTGTACAAGTTAATTTGTTGCATAAATGTCTTCTACAGACTGGGTTCACTAGACGGGCTGGTACAAGTAAATTTGTTGCATAAACGTCTACTACAGACTGGGTTCACTAGACGGGCTGGTACAAGTAAATGCATATGTAGTAAGATCATGCAACTATAGGACTTTTTTTTATGCACACAAACCTCTGTCTCTAAAAATCGGTCGAAGTCCACTAGTGTTGCGAGGATAGAAGATATATCAGAAGTGCTGTGAGTTGACCAGCTTAGGTCTCCTACTCCACCTCCTAAACTTATAAATTCAAATGGACTGTTTTAGACATAAAGTGGGAAGTTCGATACATCAAGGTACTACTGAAGCTTTCACTGATCAAGATTTCCTGAGATATCAATTATCTTCACTTTGAAAGTTTTTCTTTCCATTGACAAATGATACATCATTGGAAAGCTCTTATGCTTAATTTTAGAATCTGCAAAAAATTGCAAATTTGCAAAAATTGATTTTTTTAGCAAAATCCAGTTATATATATTAAAAATGTTTGCAAAAATAAAATGTCTAAAAAATGATGAAGTACACATTTTCGAAAAGCCCTTGACCATGCCATTTCAAATATACCCAAAATTTTCCAAAATTAAAATAGCCTGATGTTTAATTAATAAAAACTAAAATGTGCAAATTTCTTTTGATGAGTTCTATGCAAATAATTTGCAAAAATGTATTGGCAAAACTTGTGCAACCCGTTTTCTTATGTCATAGAAAGCTAAACATTATCAAAATCTGACAACTGAAAGTGGGTCAAAACAAAGATTTAGTTTGTTACAGGAAAAAGTAGTCATTCAGGCAGTGTGCCTGAGGACTCAGGCAGTTAGTATAAAAGCCCAGTTTTAGACCTAAAGGGAAGGCTATGGGTATTTGGGAAGTCAGATAATGTCAGGGGAGGGAGGGAGGGGGTCAGGAATAGGGTTAAGGACACCCTGCACACTACACAGGAAATAAACTTCAGATTCGTTTGATTTGTGCATGCGCGAACATGTGTAATTTGTGAAAAAGGGAAAATATATCTTTGCTACAAAATTTTTATTTAGTTTTTAACGTAAGATTATATCTAACCCTGAATATACACCTGGATGTTGTCCTTTTAATTTATATTTTAATTTTTAAATTATCGGTTGTATTTATTTGTATGCTAATCATTCATAAATTAATAACAATACAGATAGAACACTAGATGTCGACTTTTAAAGATTGATGGATTACGCGCATGCCGCGTTGAATGAAAAGACAGAGAGAGAGCATGCGTGTAACTCCTTTGGGCTTCTGCCTTAGGGTTAATGTGAACGAAAAACCCCTAAATCTTCTAAAGACGACATTCAGTGTTCTATCTGTTCTGTCTGTATTTTTAATTAATTTATGGTCTGTACCTAGGGAGAGCTGAGGACATGTTTGAAGCGCTTTCTTAATAAATTTGTTGGTTTCGCATAGACTTGGCTGGTTAGAGAGAAGAACAACAGCTTTAGTCTACAGTATCATCATTATTGTTGTAATAATTGTTTAGTGTTTCCATGTTTATTTTTTCTATCCATGCTGTTTATAAGATTGATATAAATTAGGTTGAAATTGAAAGTAGTCTTCATTATTTTGATCTAATTGCCTACCACCGTATCAAAGTTGCTATAGCTATATTCGATGTATATAATCTTTCTGTTTGTTTTTGGTATCCAATAAACATCGAAACGGCTGAACCGATCGAGATCTCGCATGACCAAAGGGAAGGTTTATGAATGATCAAAATTAAAAAATTTAGCCTCCAACAAATCCGAAAGTCATTTAGGTTTAAAAAATCCAGGTTTTTTATATAAAATCAGCTAACTTTTTTAGTTTTTGTTTTACAATGTATACAAAAAGAAAATGAGCATTGTCTTATAAATATATTCCGCCACGAGAATGAAATCATATATTTTCTATTCACGTTTATTTTTCTTTCTCGTCAAACTAACGGAACATCAAGTTTTAAAATAAAGTTGAGACTATATAATGTATAATGNGACTTGGGGGGAAACCTAAACAGCAGACAATCTACATACTACAATCTACATACTACAATCTACATACTACATTCTACATTCTACAATCTACATACTACAATCTACTTTCTACAATTTACAATCTACATACTACAATCTACTTTCTACAATTTACAATCTACAACTACAATCTACTATAATGTATAAATATATGTACCAACCATTATATAATGTATAAATATATGTACAAACCATTGTATAATGTATAAATATATGTACAAAACACTATATAATGTATAAATATACACTATTTTTTCTTAAATTCAAACGAACCATCTCTCTTGAATAAAAATATCTGAATCTTCATAAAATTTTTAACCATCATATATTTATTCCTTTATTAAATGTTACCTCAGAATTGAGCTGATTGAAAACATCCTGGTTCAGAAGAAAAAGGTAATTATTATTATAACCAAGAATCATAAAAACATGATAATTTAATTCTATTCTACAAAATTGAGTTCAATTAATTTTAACAATGTTAGTTATTGATATTGACAAAATAGGAATTTTTAGATTTAGCTGAAAGTGGAATGCAATGAATACTAATGAGACAAAAATCAATATTGGATTGACCAAGAATCATAAAAACATAATAATTTGATTCTATTCTATAAAACAGGGTTTAATTAAATTTTACAATGTTTGAATTATTGGTATTGATATTATTGATATTGACAAAATAGGAATTATCAGATTGAAAGTTGGAAGCAACGTCCTATACTTATGAGACAAAAATCAAGATTGGATTGATCAAAAAAAGCATTTGTTGACATAAAGGCTAAAATGAAGAATCGAATAAGACATGTATAAGGTATAAATATATNCATCTACATCTACATCTACATCTACATCTACATCTACATCTACATCTACATCTACATCTACATATACATCTACATCTACATCTACATCTACATCTACATCTACATCAACATCAACATCAACATCAACGAGATGGATGTATCCTACCCAAAGCCCAGCACTCTCCTTTTCATGAGACACAAGTTCTGTTGTTCCATCTGCCTAGTAAATATAAAGGCGGATTATCAGGGAGAGGGGAAGATTGGTTTTCTTCAGATAAAAACATGTTAATTTGACAGTTTTCTCTGATTTTTAAATAATTTGATGATTGGAAAAATTACTGAAAATGAAAATTATGATAATTGTATTACGTAGAGACCCTTCAGTTGGACTCCTTTCATTATTATAAACTTGACAAGATTTTTTATTGCTTTTCTGTGCGTAGTCTTCTCGTCTTTATAAACTTCATTTGTTAAAAATTCACTGATTAATCAAGATCACATAATTCCNAAACATGTTTATGTTCCGATTTTTCCAGGCCGCTAATACAAAAAAAACATCAAATGATTAGGAGGTTTTTTCAGAATTAAAAATAAGTGTTGTCAAAAAATTGAAACTTTTTGGGTTGCTTTTTTTAAGGGGAAAGGGGAGGGGGTTTAAGGGTTAAAATGGGGGAACTAGGATTTTGCAGAAGAAAATCATTCCTAAGTAGAAAATAAAAGTGTAATAAATGTTTAAGTACCTTTAAATTCTCTGTTGTACCGATAATTCCCCTGAGGATAATACTTTCATTATATGGAAAAGTTTTAATGAGATTTTTAACATTTTGACTTTGACAAATTACTTTTTAAGAGAGAATAAAGAATTCATATATAACCTGACAGCATAAGAAGAAGAAAAAAGAACTGAGAAGTATCAGAAGAGTCTGAAAACCGGATTTGAATCAGGCTTATAGAAAATAAAGTGACTGTACACGTAATTTCAAGCTACCCTCCATTTTTATAATGTTTTGGCCATTTCACAATGATACACTTTATACCTCCATTTTTTTCTTTTTTTTTCTGAAGTTCATCCTTGGTTAGACAGAGGTTTAAAGGGTACCACTGGAACTCAGACATACGACTCAATAATGAAAGGGTCATTTGAAATTACGGATTCAGTCCTGAAAGGTAGAAAGACTTTGAATCGTGATATTTAAAAAAGGAAATTAAAGTACTAAAAAAAATAGAACTAGAATAAGTTCGAGTAAGAATAAGGAGGAAATTGCGTTAAAAGCTTTAACAAGATAAAAATTAAAACGATTTTAGACTCAAAATAACAAAGTTATTTTCCTGACAGAGGTCCCGATAATCATAATAATAAAAATATTTCCTGACAGAGGTCCCGATAATCATAATAATAAAGATATTTCCTAACAGAGGTCCCGATAATTTGAGCTTCAGGAAATGTTCGTGAAAGGAGAGAAGTGTCTAAAATCCAGGAGTGTATACCCACCCTGATAATTATGATATAAACAACAACAACAACAACAACAACAACAACAACAACAACAACAACAACAACAACAGCAACAGAAACAGCAATAGCAACAGCAACAGCAACAGCTCCAACAACAACAGCTCTAGCAACAACAGGTCCAACAACAACAGGTCCAACAACAACAGCTCCAACAACAACAGCTCCAACTCCAACTCCAACTCCAACTCCAACTCCAACTCCAACTCCAACTCCAACTCCAACTCTCCTGTCAAATGCTATTTAACCAAATCCCTAATTATTTTTCTTCGATATTTAAATTTGGTAATAATAAAAAATGATAAAACAAAGTTAAAGGATATATATTGAATACTTAAAAAAATTTAAATATTTTTCTCACGGATTTTATTTATCAAAAACTACTTGTTGGTTCATTTTCCATATTAGTAATCTAATTTACTTTTACGAAAAGAAGATGCCTCCATTATTAAAAAACAAAAAACAAATTGTAAATAAATTTTTACCTTTTTGTGAGATGGGGTGTCAAAAAACTAATATTTACAAATAAACATTAATTTTTTACCATTTTCCATTTTAGTCTGATATTTTAAAAGTTTGGCTCATTACTTTCACCAAAGGCTAAATTTTGTATTCCTTGAACGCTAAATTTTATGTTAAAACTTAATTTAATATTAACTAAAGATTTTTAGGTATTTAATTAGTTGACACTTAAAAATGTGTGTTTCAAGGAATACAAGTTTTCCCTCAAATATTAGGTTAATATCCTTAGCACTACACAAAACATTACAGTTAGAAACACAAAACTTAGGAATAAAAAGACGACTTTTAGATTCAAGTTAGACTTTTAATAATGAACATGAGAGTTATTGTAAAGTGAAAGCGGACCGACTTCACTAAATAAGTGATTTAGTAAGTTACTTGTAAAACTTTGTAAAAACATCAAATACACTTAGGTATTGTTATAATGCCGTCTTCATGTAAGACAGTTTTATGGTTCTAACTGTAGATTATACCCTATCCAGCTTTTCTACGGTTAATATTTTTTTACCCTCCATTTCTCGAGTTGACTGAAAATATTTATTTTGTTACCTTCAGAGGAAAACCTCATTTGGCAATTTCATTATAATTTTTCCCCCAGACGAAGGTTTAAAGAGATTAAGTGTGAATCAATAGAGGGCTACTTAAAATAACATAACAATTACTTTCAATAAAGATAAAGAAATTATATTGATCAAGGATTTAAATGTAAATATGTTCCTCCGGATGTTTATAGTCCCAGGGATACTTGGAATCCTTCTTAGAGTAATTCTCCTTTATTCCTTCCCAGTAGAAGGACTTGGGGGGAAACCTAAACAGCAGACAATCTACATACTACAATCTACATACTACAATCTACATACTACATTCTACATACTACAATCTACATACTACATTCTACATTCTACAATCTACATACTACAATCTACTTTCTACAATTTACAATCTACATACTACAATCTACTTTCTACAATTTACCATCTACAGATACAATCTACTATCCTAGACAGCAGACAATCTACATAATATACTACAATCTACTTTCTACAATTTACTTTCTACAATTTACTATCTACACCTACAATCTACTATCTTTTTCCTATCATCTACATTACTATACAATATCTTCAATGTACTTTCTCCTATCTATCAACTATCTGCATACTTCAATCTACCATCTACATTCTAAATACTAAAATGCAGTATCTAACATCTGACATGTATCATGTATCATGTATCATCTAAGAACCAACCCTCCAGCATCTTGCATCTACCCACAAACACAAACATCCTGCATCTATCATCGAGAATCTAACACTTTACATCTAAAATAGATCATGTTTTATCTAGCATTTACTTTTTTAGCATATAGCATCTAGAAAATGCCCTGTATAGCATCTAAATCTATTGTGAAGGTCTAGACTACATATATTATTATTATTACGGATAGAGAAGCTACAGTAAACATTCCACAACAAAAGTGCGAAAATCTTACCGCTCTCTTTCTCTGCAGATAATGTTTGCAACATCTTTCCAATTTTGGCAAACCTAAAATACATTTTTATTGCAAAATAAAACAGTTTCTAATCATATTAATCTATTTATTGAGAGCTTTGCTGAAACAATTTAACCATAACGAAACCTAAGAGAAGAAAAGGGATTCGTAATTTTTTTTCTCGACCAACAAAAATGTAAAAAGTTATTTCAAATCTATCAAAAATAAGAACAAATCTATTAAACAATGAACAATGTACATGCAAAGAAGATGTGCTCTCAGTTAAACTGTTAAAAGACCCTTAAAATTTCGAAGATAATTTCAAAACTAACAATAAAAACTGACGCGAAGCGAAAAATGTTATTTTTACCTGTTTACACTGTTTTAGTTGATGCATGGGAAGATGTGCAAGAATAAGTTTAATAATACTGTATTGCGAGGCTAACACCGGCCCTGCACATTTCCAGTTTTTAAAGATTTTGGAGAAATAATGTACAGTGTACAGATACCACCAGAAAACAATGGAATAGGAGGACACAATTATAGATTCACCGACAAAGGGTCAAACGACCCAGGGTCAAACGACACAGGGTCAAACGACACAGGGTCAAACGACACAGGATCAAACGACACAGGGTCAAACGACACAGGATCAAACGACACAGGGTCAAACGACACAGGGTCAAACGACACAGGGTCAAATGTTTGACCCTTTGTCGTTTGACCCTGTGTCGTTTGACCCTGGGTCGTTTGACCCTTTGTCGGTGAATCATATTATAGCATACTCAAGTGTATTTGATGATGTTACAAAAGAAATATATTACCAGTAAGTTATTAAATCAAGTTAAATGAGTCTGTTTAAACTAGGACCTACAGCTGTCGTAGGTCCTAAGTTTCATAGGACGGAAATGCCGTAGGACCAAAGTAGCATTAGCGTCATGTATTTAAATCTTTTTTTAATAATTGATTTAAAATTTCTTACTCTATCTTTCTATTAAATAGGCTAAAAAAATTCGAATTTTTTTTCCACGGGCAACGCCGGCCATTTCTGAATCAGGAACATTGTGTGCTAACAATTTCAATCACTTCATTTATGCACAGGCTTGCTTTTAACAAAAATATTATTCTTTCAGTAGAAGCTTTCATTTTAGAAAGGAAAAATATTGCCGGAGAATTTCCATAAATAAGGTTTATGTTCTATTTCATGAGATATCTCCAGATTAAGTCATTAATTTAAATTTGTTCATGTCGTTTCATTATTTTGAAACTAACGCGAAGGAACAGTAGAGATTGTAAAATTTTAAAACATTTAAAAAAAAATTAAAAACAGTATGTTCTAATGATTAAAGAATTTGTGAAGGTGAATAGGAGCGAATTTAAATGAAACATGAAAACTTAAAATTAAGATTCTTAAGGATTATTTTCTTGAAAAATTGACTCATTGAATATCCATTTATTTTGACCAAATATAGTTTGCTACAAACGGACGGAGGACTTATTTGTTAAGCTAACAGTGCTAACCAGAACACACTTCAGGTCTTCGTTTAACTATTACCATTATTTTTAACATTGCAGCAAGGACCCTGAACTATATTGCAATATAAATACAACAGTTAATAAGTGATATGTCCGATTCACTTTTGAATTCAACTAACTTTCAAAATTTGTTCTCTAGAATAAAGCTTTCGTTTTCATGGGCCCAACTGTGAATCTGACATGCCATCTATTAAATGGAGGATCACTTAAGATTACATCTCAAGGCCTTTTAGTTCAAATCTTTTGACCAAACACAACAAGGCCTTTTAGACAAAACGAAAAAAAACTGTTTCCTTTACAATCTTGAATCAATCCCTCTGTCGTCTCGTCTCCTGCCGGTTCCTCCATTTTCTTCTGAAACCAAACAAATGTTTTCAAAACATTGAATATACTTGAAAATATTTACATATCATTATTTATGTTATTTCATATATTTAAAAGTACAGATTGGTAAATTAACAAATAACGTGGATTAAAATATTATATTTTTTAAAATGCATTCTTTCTAAAACTAACTTTTTTCGCTTTTAACATGAAAATAATTTAGTTTTACACCTTGTATTTTTCTGATTTATGTGTCTAAAAATATACACAAAATAGTTTATGGTTTCAGAAAAAGAATTATGCCCGACAGTAAAACCTAAGTTTGTGACAAAGACTTAATTCCTTAGAAGAAATGAATTTGTTTAGAACAGAATCGTAAGACATATGTTTCAAAATGATTAAAAAGAGACATCTATCATTGTTTAAAGAACTATAGTTTCAGATTAGCGGATTTTCAAAAACTGTTTTACAAGTATAGTTCCAGATTGGTGGATTTTCTTGTTTATAGGAACTCCATTTCTCGTTCAATACCAACGAACCTAGATGAATCAGCATGTTAAAAACTTAGAAATAGATAATACTTGTTTATGATTGTTAATTCTATTTATGATTTTCTTATTATGAGCCCCCCCCCCCCCCTCCCAGGACAAATTACTACAATCGCACAGTGTCCGTTTTCTTATAAAGAAACGTAGCTTAACTTATAGCCGTACAAAATAAAATTTTTTTTAATCCATGATGTTTCTTAACATAAAGCGGAAACTTAATAATTAATGAAAGAAAAAGATTGATTTCCTTATGATGAAAAATAAAGTTTTTTTTTCAAAAAATTTAATTTATGCAATTTAATGTGCTTTTTGCATTTTCCCTTTAATTTAAGTTTAGAAAGCGAAACAAATTTAAACATTTAGGGAAGAAAACCTAAATATCTAATAGATTTTTTTTTAAATATTTTAGCTTCAGATTTCTTTTCTTCTCCGCGAAAGATGGAATTGAGCTGCTGGGGGGTGGAAGTAAAAATATACACTCTAAATCAAACATAAGAGAAAATTTATTCAGTTTTTTTCCAATTAATTTAATTAAGTTAAAAAATCTAACAAAATAATCAAGTTGTGAGTGCAAAGAGAATTATTTAACATTCTTAGAATCCTCCAAACTCTATTCAAGAAACATTAAATTCGACGTTTATCTGAAAATAATTTAATGTTTTTCTACTTTCTGATAATCTTAACAAGGAGTTGGGGAAATAATTTCTTTTTAGAGAGCTTTCGAGTATTTATCTTTCTTGTCTAATTATATTGAACAGAGAGTATTTAGATATATAGAATTATTTATCTAATTTATTGAACAGAGAGTATCTGGATATAAAGAACTTATGTCTAATTATATTGAACAGAGAGTATTCAGATATATAGAATTATTTATCTAATTTATTGAACAGAGAGTATTTGGATATAAAGAACTTATGTCTAATTATATTGAACAGAGAGTATTCAGATATATAGAATTATTTGTCAAATTATATTAAAAAAGTTACATTTAAAATTCCAAATTTCCTTCATCAACTCCCAAAAAAAAACTATTTACTGTCTAACCTGAGCTGTTCTGTTGGACCGTATCTATAATCAAAGAATAATTCCTCTCCAGGTTGAATATATCGCTTAGCAAATATTCCAATACGGTGATCCCCGTTCACCATGAGAACCTGCAAACAATTGGATCTTAAAGGGAGTGTAAACGTATTTCCAAGTTACCCTTCATGCAAAAATGGCATTGCCCGAATTAAGACGTTACTCTTCACAGCTTTTTCTCATCAAGAATGAATTCTTTAAACTAATAGTTTTCATTTGCGGTTACTCTGCGAGAGTGACATGTCCGTTCCTTGTTTAGGGAGATTGGAGAAACTCACAGCATTAAACACTTTCCGAGTCAGACGGTGTCTTTACATTTTGTTCAGACTTAGGTTTAAAGGAAAGCGTTGTAAAACGTGTATTGCCATCTTTGCATGAAGGGTCACTTGAAATTTCGTCTCGATTCGGCCATCTCCTGAATACTCTAAAGAGACTGTAGTTGGAATTTCAATTGACCCTCCATTAAAAGAGGGCCATGCCCGATTCACAGCAGTACCCTTTTAACAGCTATCTGAAAATAATGTGGAAGATATTGTTGTTTTTTTTCTAACTTGAACAGTATTCAATTCAAACAATGTTTTCATGTGCACCGTTATAAACATGCCTTCCTGTAAATGAACCGGTTTTTTTCTGTTAATTTGTAGCATCATGTTTTCACACGAAAAACGTTAATATATTGCTAATTCTAAAATGAAAAGTTTTATATTTTATTTCAGAATGGCTGACACATGATTTCCTTAAAGTATGATCCCCGTTTACCATGAGAACCTGCAAACAATGGGATCTTAAAGGGAGTGTAAGCGTATTTTCAAGTTAACCTTCATGTAAAGATGGCAATGCCCGAATTAAGACGTTACTCTTCACAGCTTTATCTAATCAAGAATGAATTCTTTAAATTATTAGGTTTCATTTGCGGTTGTTCTGCGAGAGTGACATGTCCTATCTTGTTAATTCTAAAATGAAAACTTTTATACTTTATTTTAGAATCGCTGACACATGATTTCCTTGAAGTACGATAATTTTAGATGTTATTGGACTGTTGTTACTGAAAAAACGTTTATATAGTGTCCTTGCAAAGGTATCATCCTTTCCGCTGAAACTTGAAACGATAAATCGACTTCTTCTCCGGTCATAGATATCTTTAAACCCATTTTGGGCAAAAACGTCGATACCGACATCTAACTTTGCGACACCCTGTGCCATAATTTCTCAAATACATTAGTATAGACTCACTTTATCATAAGTCTCTCAGAGTTAACAAAATGCAATAATAGGGCGAAAATATAGAAAAAAGTAAAACAGGGTATAATTGTTTAGTTTTTATCAATTTTATTTTCAATCTCTTTGATTTTTTTGTATCAATATTTAGTGAATTTTTATTTTACATTGATATTTGATCAACGTTTATCTCTCTGAGTCTTCAATCTAAATAATCTTTTATAAGCCTACAGAAAAAGCATTGAGTGACAAACCATACAAATACAGCAATAAATCCACTCAGGCATTAAAAAACTGTGGCAAGGAACCCATACATTACATTATACGATATCAACCATAACCGAACATAAATAATCAAGATTCATATAAATATAAGCATAATTACCGCAGTGGTCCTAGAATTTCACACGGTTTTAATAATCGACGAACATTACATGAAATACAAATATATACTAAGGTAGAATCTGCTCGCTTCCACGCAGAAAACTTGCGCATGCGTAGTCGGACTGTAAACAGCTTCTAAAACTAGTTCTTTACAATACGTTCTGTACAGATCCTCAGGGAGAACTCAGAGATTCGCAGGGGTATCACATAGACTTTATGAACGCAGCGTAGCTCGCGTAACAATCAGTTTGAGTTAGATTTTCATTACCAGTTGTAAGTCCGTCGATGACGATATCGACGTTTTCGGAAATGATACTCTATAAAAACATCGATATCGACGTTTTCGAATTTCAAATAAACAAAGATGTATGACAGAATTATTCAAATTATAAATTCTTGAAAAAGTCTTGTTGCTTGTTAAGATTCCCCGCCTACCCCCACGCCCCCTTCCTCTTGCTCTCAGTACCTCCCAGGGCTCAACATGAAAGCCTTTTTTCTTCTTTTGTTTCATATTTTCTCATTTTAAAAAAATATTAGGTGAAGATTTGAGATTTTCTTGCTAAACCATGCTGACTCCCCACATCACCCTAACCCACTGCCTCTATGAAACTATTTAAAAATAATATGGAATTTATTTGTACACATCTCAGGGGATACATTTTTTGTTTTTCTGTTATAAAATACCGTTTGTCATATATAATTTACTTGGGTATCAGATAATCATCAATTCTAAAAGAACAATTTATTATTTTTTTTCTTCAAAAAGTTAATATTAACTATCGTTATTTTACATAAATTCCGAAAACGTCGATATCGACGTCTGTCCATAGCCCAAAATATGAAAAAAGTTTTAAATGTCCCATATAAATTGGATCAAATGTATTAGTGTTTAAATTTTTTTTGCCTATTCTGAGGAACAAATTTGCTCTCGCCTATAATGGGCTAATCCCAATGAATTGCTAATATGGTAGTTAGTGTACCATGAAATTACCCAAATAAGTGAACGGTCCCTTTAAGGTTAATTATTCTAAAATCAAATTAGAAGAAACCATTTTACAATAAAAGTGAAAGTCATATTTCCATTTTTCACTTAAGACAAAGGAACAACTGTACGGCTTTAAATGAATAATAAACGTCGAAATGTTGTAAAAAATATTGAAAAAAATTAACAAAAAAACATAAATCTATGGAAGGGATTCCGAAAAAAGAACTAGTTTATGAAAAACAAGATAAAAATGAAAGATATAATAACCAGTAAACAATTAATTTACAGAAAGAATGAAATTAAAAAAAATACAATATAGATTATAGAATAAAGATGACCAAATGGTTTTCTACCTTAGCGCAGCAGTTAGGATTGATGGAATGGTTTGCGAATCTAATCTTGTTTCCTTTTCTTGTAGCATCCACTACATACTCATTATTCAGGTTAAACAGGAAGGAACACATGTACTTATCATAAACCTAAACAGGAACACATTTACTTATCATATACCTAAACAGGAACACATGTACTTATCATATACCTAAATAGGAACATATGTACTTATCATATACCTATAGAGGACACATGTACTTATCATACACCTGAACAGGAACACATGTACTTATCATACACCTGAACAGGAACACATGTACTTATCATATACCTAAATAGGAACACATGTACTTATCATATACCTAAACAGGAACACATGTACTTATCATATAACTAAACAGGAACACATGTACTTATCATATAACTAAACAAAAACACATGTACTTATCATATAACTAAACAAAAACACATGAACTTATCATTTACCTAAGCAAGAACACATGTACTTAGCATACACCTAAACAAAAACATATGAACTTATCATATATTTAAACAGGAACACATGAACTGCCCATATACCTAAACAGGAGTACACGTACTTATCACATATCCAGACAGGAGTATATGTACTTATCCTAAATATAAACAGGAACAAATGTACTTATCATACACCTAAACTGTGTTCTTTTATACTGTATAATTTTCATTCTACAACTGTAATGTCCAGGCTTTTATCACATGTTAACAGATGGGTTCAACGACAGAGAGCAAAATATTAGGAAATCCAAGGATTCTAGATATCAAATATTTAGGTTTATAACATAATCCGGATGACAAGATGAACATCCGGATCTATAAATTGTCCTGATAAAGTGGGAATCCGGATGCATTACATGAGAAAAAATGGATTCGAATCCATGTATTCAAGAGGAAAGATTTATCCAGATCCATGTATTTTCGAGAGGAAAAATGGATCCGGATCTATGGCTTATCTAAGGAGAAAAATGAATCCGGATCCATTTATTGTCATGAGAAAAAATGAACCCTCATAAATGAATTGTCATGAGAAGAAATGAATCTGGATCCAGGTATTGCCAGGAGGAAATATTAATCCGGATCCATGTATTGTCAGGAGGAAATATTAATCCGTATCCATGTATTGTTAGTAGGAAAAATTAATCCGGATCCATGTATTGTCAGAAAATAAAATTAATCCGGATCCATGTATTGTTAGGAGGAAAAATTATTCCGGATCCATGTATTGTAAGGAGATAAAATTAATCCGGATCCATGTATTGTTGGGAGGAAAAATTAATCCGGATCTATGTATTGCCAGGAGGAAAAATTAATCCGGATCCATGTATTGCCAGGAGGAAAAATGGATCCGGATCCATGTATTGCCAGGAGGAAAAATGGATCCGGATCTATGTATTGCCAGGAGGAAAAACGAACCCGATTCCATAAATTGTCCCGAGTGAAACCCGGATCCTGGTAAGATCCTGAGAAAAAAAATGTATCTGGTTCGAGTTCATCAATATTTTTTCCAAGTTTTAACAATATCCTTTTCTAAAGAATAACCTTAGAGCTTGTTAAGTTTTCGAAAAATTTTAATTTATCATGATTTTTCCTTGGTGTGAGGTGTTAACATGCAAAAACAAGAATGTAAAGATTAAAGTTTTAAGTTTACATATTTAATATATCTATATCTTAAATACCTCTAAAATATTTGACCTTTCCGCACCTATCCGGCCAATTCTTTAATGTGTTACCTTTCCGCACCTATCCACCCAGTTCTTTAATGTGTTACCTTTCCGCACCTATCCACCCAGTTCTTTAATGGGTTACCTTTCCGCGCCTATCCGCCCAGTTCTTTAATGTGTTACCTTTCCGCGCCAACCCTCTCAGTTCTTATAAATTTTTAACCTATCTACGCCACTCCGCCGGACTCTTAAATACTTTACCTTTCCGCGCCTATCCGCCTCATCTTGAGATATTATCTCCCCACAATACTCTGATATGAACTCGTTTTTCAGCGCTGAATCCTGAATACCAAAATAGTCATATTTATAAAAATTATGTTAAATGAAGGGACGGTAGGCTTAACTTTAAGCGACCCTCCATGTGAAGAGGTAATGCTCAATACACAGGGGTAGCTTTGAAACCACAATCTGATCAAAAATGTTGAAGATACCGTCGTTTTTCCGACTCAATTAGTGATTATTTCTGGGATTTTTTTAGTTGCTTCTTATTAACAAGGAATTCGCATTGCGCCAATGAAAATAAACAGTTTAAAGAAATTTTTTTTTTATGTATAATTCATACTTAATCAGAAAAAGCTTTTAAGGGTACCGTTGTAAATCAAACACTGCCATCTTTGCATGAAGGGGCACTTGGAATTACGCTTACAGTCCCTTTAAAATCTTCATTTCAAGAATTGAATATAGGCAGAAAAAAAATATGCAGGAAAATCCTTTAAACCAGCTTAAACAAAGGATGAATGAAATACACATATTTTTTCTCTCTGAAAATTTATTCTTTTTTATTGGTTTCCTTGCTGTTTACAAGCTAGAATCAGGACGACATTATACTCATTGTTATTCAGATAAGTGTTGAAAGAGAACCATTGTGAATCGAACATTTTTCATTAAAAAATAGACTTTGTTTGTTCCTTAATGAATATCCCCCATCCTGCCACGTCAGAGGGAGCCATAAACAGTTTCTTTCCTAATCCTCTCTGCACCTAAACACAATATATATCAAAATATTATCATGATACAATATTTTATATTTTTATCAAACTAATCCAATCCAATCCAATCCAATCCAATCCGACTTTTAGGAACATCCTACTTCCAAACTTCTGAGTCAAATGATTTTGGCATCCCGGATCCGCAAAAATATGTGGATTCACTGATCAGGATCCAAGAGGCAAAAAAAGAAGAAAGATAATTTGAAAATTTTTCTTCTGTTAAATTTTTTTAGTAAATCTTAAAAAATTGTTTATGACTTGGATTCGGATCCATTTTTTCCAGTGCAGATCCAGGATCCGGATCCGCATAAAAATTCAATGAATCCTAAGCACTGGATTCAACTAATTGCTTTAGGTACTCCAGGCGCACTTACTTCAAATAAATTGTGACTGTTGTTCACTATTCTTACAGATTTCGATGTGATTAAACATATGATTGTTGATTATATCTTTTATTGATCATATCTCAAGCGATACATTTATTTCTATTTTGAAATGAGGATAAAAATTGTTCTTATAATATGCAGTTTAGATGGTTTGGTTTGGTTTGGTTGGCCTTTTTATCTAATTCTTAACTCTCTGTTGGAGATTTGTAACAATGTCGACAATGATAAAAGAAAAAAAATCAATCATTTTCCCTTTGATGTGTGTTGGATAAGATTATCTCTAGATCTTGATTGAAAAATACAGAACAAAATAAATCAAATATATGACAGGAGGGGGGGGGGGGAGTGCTCTTCAATTCCTTTCAAGTGTTATAAAATAAATATAAAAAACAATATTCCATTGTAGGGTTTTCCTCATAATGCTAAACCTTAAATATATTGAGAATAAAGAAATTCTCACATTTTTAACGAATATTTGAAATATTTTTGAATAAAAATTCTAATTTCTATGGTAGCCTTGTGTAACAGATAGAAAGTGCATTATGAACAGATAGAAAGTGCATTGTGAACAGATGGAAAGTGCATTGTTAACAGATAGAAAGTGCATTGTGAACAGATAGAAAGTTCATTGTGAACAGATGAAAAGTGCATTGTGAACAGATAGAAAGTGCATTGTGAACAGATGTAAAGTGCATTGTGAACAGATGGAAAGTGTATTGTGAACAAATGGAAAGTTTTTATTCGACCTTCAATTATCATCATTTATTATTTTACATACTTAAAAAACAGCTTTGCATTAATTGTTCTAATCAAGTATTTTTAATAAAATCTTTCTTTGATATTTAACAAACCATATAAAATACAGTTGTACAATTTTACAGTTGTATATTACTTTTAATGTACAGACTTAATATTGCGAATGTTTGAAAACTCAATTTAAAGTTTATTTCATGCATGGAAACTTTTAAGATAGATGACTAAATACTTTTAAACTATATCAAGCTTATTCGTATTTGACTTGTAATAATAGGGAGCAATCATGAAATATTAAATGGGAAAGGAACACATAATCATGAAAATATGATATTTCTACAGGATATCTTGGATATATCTAGATTAACATAGTTCTTACCATAACATTTCTACAGGATATCTTGGACATATCTAGATTATAATAGTTCTTACCATAACATTTCTACTGGATATCTTGGATATATCTAGATTATAATAGTTCTTACCATAACATTTCTACAGGATTTCTTGGATATATCTACATGATAATAGTGCTTACCCATAACATTTCTACAGGATATCTTGGATATATCTAGATGAT